ATTAATGTGACATTGAAAAGTGACGTCATATTTCAGATTGTGCAGTGGGAATGCAACGTACAGATTTTCTGTTCAATTTACAATACATGAAAATATGTGAAACAAACTCAGGTTCTCCATTACATAATACCCACATTTCATTCCCTGTTATTCTTCCAATTTCTTGCTTTTGTTTTCAATGGCAAGATATCCCAGAGTAATTTATAGTTAAAATCAGTATTTTTAATAAGTAAACGAATAGCTCGCAGAGCCATGTGATTCATATGGAGCACAGAGCTATGATTGAGAGAGGCCGTGGTTCGCCATATATTTAGGCCTCCGTCTCCCCTTGGATTAATATGTAAATCCCATGTTATATCAATTAATAAATACATAAATAACCGCACTCCTCTCGGCGACTGGTTCATATTCTGTTCTGTAGATACGTTTTCTGTCTAATAGATATGCATTCCCAATAAGCATATGCTTATAGTTGTATGCTTTAAGCGTACCATACTTCGAAACCCAAAACCAAATATGTATTGAAGAATTAAAGACCTCAATACGGCCAATTTCGCACCCGACTCGGCTGAAGCAAGGGATTTTGGCAGCGAGCAATGCGTTTCCTTAATATGCAACAAACCATTTAGCTGGACGACGTAAAAAATGCAGGGAACAATGCCACAATGAGCAAATCTTTGCAAGTTTCCACTCATTGTATATATGCTCATTGCTTGACATAACCATTTTTGCATATGTGATTTCTAACCTCCACTTAATTCCGTCATCCAAAAAATTACGTCCCTACAACGTCACAGTGACGAAATCGGGCCCGACAAATAAACGGATTGTCGTCCAAAACGCGCAGACGATTACCCGAAATCAAGCAGGCTATTTTTCTCGTTTTCTCGTCGGAACGATCCCGATATGAGAGAGATCGCTGGCGTTAGCCAGTTGGTTATCGTCGGCGGACGATCATAACTTTTCCAGCTCAATTACATGTTGTGACATCGTAGTGACGTAACTTTCGGTTTACGGAGCCAGGTGGGGGTTAGGAATGACATATCCAAAATGGTTGTGCCCCGCCAACTAGAAGTACTTACGGCGTTTAGTGAACATACGCCGACATTTCTCACCTGGGGATTTAAATGACTTGTAGATGATTTCAATTTCAAAATGTTGCGAATAGCCACAAGCCCAATATTTGGAATCATACTTTACAGTAATCGGGAAAATATTCTCAATTTTGATTATTTAAATATTATCATTAAACCACGATCGTATAAACCGCATTTTGAATATTTATCATTTTCGTTGCAGCTAATCTGGATAGCAAGAACATTTGCGAATACAGTAAAAACACTTGTTTCGTTTATATTCCTGAAAATTCAACTAGTGTCGACGTTTTTATCGCCGACGACTGCACCAAAATAATATTGAGAATATTTAAAAGACTTTACTTGAAATGGTTAGATATCCGCGGCAATTTCTTAAAAGTTTGAGATTCATCTTCTCCAATCTCAAAAGTAAAACCTCGTTTTGAGATTTGCAATTTTGATCTGTCAGATTCCAACTGAAACTGACTACGCTATTTCCTTCATATCCGATAGATTTGATTGGCTGTGAGCATAGATTTATGTTTTCTGCAAGAAGTTCACGTGTCAACGCTGAAAATAAATTAACAATTAGGTGCTCTTCACATGGTTGGATTATTTTAATAATCTTTATGGTAATGCCCCTTCTATTACTGTGATAATTACTGTGTCTTCGATGATTTATTTTGCGAGTTAATTAAATACCAGCTTACATACTTAGCATCTTACCCAGCAGAAGAGGTGTTTTGAGCATTTTTAATCAAGTAATCTTCCTTAGCTTTGACTCAACTAATATACCTTCCAAATTCAGCTCAATAAGCTCAGCTCAGCTTCTCTTGATTTCTCTGATTGATCGGCACGACAAATTAAATGGAAAGGAGGTGTACTATATGACTGTGCTACACTGTATTGCAAGCTTCGGCCAATGTTTTTCAATGGTTCTTCATGTAGCATGAGAGGAAATAATTTTAAGAGGTCATTAGTATCAACCTAGGGTAAGGTATTACGTAGTTTATTGTTATAGAAAGCGTCACTGTCTTTCACCTGCGAACAAGCATTATGTATATTTCGAGCAATTCATGGTTTATAAATTTCAAGTCTTGAGTCATCTCTATATAACGAGCATATTGTGTTACTGTATTATGGCTCCCATTATTTCATGCATGAGTGACCTTGGTTTTCTCTCTCGTCCTTCTTCTTTCGTTGATGCTTCAGTCGATGACTGCGTGTTTCTGTGATACATTTTGAATATCTACGAACATCGTCTATTCTTCGAGTTCACAACACAACATATAATGGCGATGAGGATGGTTAAAGAATTTTAATGCCGGTGGATTAAATTTATACACAAGGTAACATTACTTTACGTGAAAAGCGACGGTAAATACTTCGGACATTTTTCTGATTGTCACTGCCGGCTTGATACTAAAAGCTAGTCTACACACCGTTTTGCTGTTTCTACATTGCTACAATTAGTTCTCACGGATTTCCACCACCTGCTGTGTTTTTAGCCAATCCTGGAAAACCACCAGTTGCATGGAAGCAATGGATTGCGTTGTTCCAAAACTACATGGTTGCTACTGGCAATACTGAATTGCTTGCTGCTAGAAAAAAGGCTATACTACTACACTGCCTAGGTGCTGGAGGCCAAAGATTATTTTACACATTGACAGAAGATGCGGTTGTGTTCGATGAAAATGATAATGTATACATGAAAGCTGTTAAAATGCTGAGAGATATCGTGGACTTGATGGTGGGGGATGTCGTAATCGACCAGCGGTCGTGTGAACCACCCTCAGTGGGACGAGAGCTGCAATCCAGTCGCACATAACTATCCCCGCATGGGATTGGAACCTGTGAAACTACCCGGGTGATCAGAGATGCAATGGCGAGCATATTCCTAGATGGCAAATTTAATCAATTGAATTCTGGTTATTTTTTGCATGAGCTGGCGGTAGTTATCTATTCAACTTTTCACACTTACTAATAGATTACCTGCTAACTAGGGAAACAATACCTTATGGCAATTGATGATTAATTCCTTACACAAGTCAGGTCTGCAAGTAGGCCTACTAATAACAGTAGTTTGTCATCTGCTTTCCATTGAAATGAGGAAGCTTATGAATATTTAAAGAAATTGATAACGGCACATTATCACTCACCATTAACAAAGTGCTGTCCGTAAATAGTGAAACACAAGCGAGATGAATTCTGGACTTGACACCAAGCAGTCCTGTCAATAGATGATATCCACATTCCGCGTCGACGTTCCGGATCTTTTGAAAACATTGGAATATAACTGAAGATCCATTGCGTTGTCTATACTATACGTACAGCCAACGGAACAATACGAAATAACCATTTTCAACAGCCAAACAAAACGGAAACGTATAATCCGACTTGCAACTGACAGGAGCCAAATGGACATTTTTGTTTTTTTGCCGTCCAGTAAACAAAGTCACGTGTCCCGTTCAAGTCCTCTATACTGATACAAATGCTTTCTACAAATTGCCAAAAGGCTTAGGACCCGAATTTGCTAAATATGCTGAATGTTTTGAACCTATTGCTGGCCCTATTAAAGGGTTTGTGCATAAAGTAAAAATGAAAAAAGATGCCAAATCAGTCCAACAGAAGTTGAGACGATTACCATTTTCTATTCGTGATGCTGTTACTGCTGAATTGAAACAGCTAGAAAATGCTAACATAATTGAAAAGAATAATACCTCTGAATATATTTCACCACTAGTCGTAGTTCAAAAGAAGACTGGTAAAATTCGTTTGTGCTTGGATTTAAGGAAAGTTAACAAAATGATTGTGGTTGATAAATTTCCTTTGCCTACAGTTGATGAAATATTTAGTGAAATGCATGGTGCCAAATATTTTCCAAAATTAGATCTTGCTTTTGCTTATCATCAATTAGCTTTAGCTGAGAAAAGTGGAGATTTAACTGCTTTGTTACACATGATGGGACATTTCGTTTTTGTTGTGCTTGTTTTGGTTTAGCCTCTGTTCCTAGTGCTTTCCAAACGATGATGGTATCTGTTCTTGAAGGTTTGAAAGGGGGTAAATGTATAATTGATGATATCGTAATTTGGGGTCGTACCAAACAAGAACATGATGCTGATTTACATAAAAATGGCCACATCCTAAATTGTCCAATGCTATACTAAATGCTCCATCTCCTCATGATACGACTTCTTTACGTTCCTTTCTTGGTTTGATTGGATATTATTCTAAATTTTGTAATGATTTTGCTACTATTGTTGAACCAATGAGACGTTTTTTATGCAAAGATGTTACTTTTTGCTGGGATACTGATGCTCAGAAAAGTTTTATTGCTGCTAAAGAGTGTATTTCTGAACATATTGCGCTTGCTTTTTATGATCCTAATTTGCCTACTATAATTACTACTGATGCTTCTGGTTATGGTTTGAGTGCTATTTTGAGTCAAATTGATGCAAATAAGACTGAACGTGTTATAACATGTGCATCCAGAACACTTACTGAAAATGAGAAGAAGTACTCCGTTGGTGAACGTGAGGCACTTGCTTGTGTATGTGCATGTGAAAAATTCCATAATTACATCTGGGCTAGAAAATTTGAGCTGCAAACTGATCATCAAGCTCTCACTACTTTGCTTACATCTCCAGGAAATACTCGACAATCCATGAGAATTGCTCGATGGAATGCTCGTTTGCTACAATACGATTATATAGTGAAATACAAATCTGGTTCTGAAAATAAATTTGCTGATACTATATCCAGATTACCTCTGAATTCTACTGAAAATGCTGATTGCGAAGATGATGTTGTTTGCAATTTTCTGAATACTACGGATACTAATTTATCCATTTCATTACTGTAAGTACAAGAAGCTACGCTTAATGATCCTATGCTCTCTAAAATGAAAGATTACATTTGTAATGTATGGCCTTACAAAAAGATGTTGATTCTGCTTTACAAACATTTTATCATGTACGTGATGAGCTGACAATTTACAAAGAGTTGATAATCCGAGGTGGAAGAATCCTTGTTCCTAATGCTCTTACTACTAAGTTGATTAATCTGGCACACATGACACATCAAGGAATTGTTCGTACTAAACAAAGATTACTAGATCTATGCTGGTGGAAAGGTATGGATAAACAAGTTGAGAACTTGATTTGTCATTGCTCTGTCTGCCATGCTCATGATAAATCTACTAAACCTGTATTTGCTCCATTGAAACCTGTTCCTTTGCATAAACAACCTTGGCAAAAGCTTGGTATTGATATTGTTGTTTCTAATGAAAATGCTCCTGCTGAATGTCGTCTTGCTATTACATTGTTGATTAAAGTTATGTTTATTTCGAAAGTGGATACACCTACTGTGATAAAATTCTTAAAAACTGTTTTTTTTTACAAAGAAGGTTACTGCAATGAAATTGTCAGTGACAATGGTGTACAATTTCGATCACAAATGTTTGAAGAATTTTTACGTTAAAGAAATATTAAACATAGTTACTCTTCACTTTACCATCCCCAAGCATCTGGTAAAATTGAACGCTGTATTCGGAAATGCTGTAAAAACTGCTCTACTGAATGTACAGCCGTTGAAAGATGCTATTCAACTATTTCTTTGAATATATAGATGCACTAAACATTCTACTACTGGACATTCTCCTTCTGGTCTGCTACACAATAGACAAATGAGAACTGATCTTGATATTCCTGAAATTTATAATATGATGAAAGACTGGTCAAGTTAAAAAGTGTTTGATCAAGTTATGAAGAAACAAAATGCAAGTAAAGAATATACTGATGAGAAACGTGGTACTAAACAACTTGATTTGAATATTGGTGACTATGTGAGAAAGCTGGTCAAGAAACCTGGTCATGTTGCAAAAGGTCAAATGAAGTTAGATTACCAGAGTACATGGTCCTGCTACATATTCTACAAGTGATGGTCATAGATGGAATCAATCCAAAAATTCTCCATGTGCTAATCCTAACCCTGTACAGAATAATGCTTCACTTGATTCTAGTGATACTGTGATACCTTCTGTTGATAATACTGCTAATGATAATTCTGACACTGTTGATTCTGAATTGCCTCGTAGAAGCTCTAGAATGCGTGTACCTCCAAAATGGCATAGAGATTATCAAATGTGATTTATGCATGCTTTCATTGCTTTTGTACTTTGCTACTGTACATATTTTTTTTTTCAAAGGGGGAAATGTGGTATACTGTATTTTGGCTCCCATTCTTTCATGCATGTGTGACCTTGGTTTTCTCTCTCGCCCTTCTTCTTTTGTTGATGCTTCAGTCGATGACTGCGTGTTTCTGTAATACATTTTGAATATCTACAAACATCGTCTATTCTTCGAGTTCACGACACGACACATATCAATTTCGTTTGAAGTAATCTTCATAATCTTTATCGTTGGAATTTCTTGATGATTATTTGCAGTTGAAACTAAAATTGGTCAAAATTTTTCACGCCAACTGTTTTTTTCTTATGAGCGAACCGTCAATAAATTGTTTCGATTATGGTTTATCCGTACATAAAGACGCACCGGACTATAATACGTCACGGCTTATGAAGAAGTATCGGGTTCACGTACAAAGCTTCTTGAACAAAACAATATTTCTACATGTGGTGTTTAGTATACAATCTCACATAATTTGGTCAAGATTACATTACATAGGTGTGCAATTACAAACGGATCACTTAGAATGTGCGTAATTAAGTATGACTGTTATCATTGAATCTCCGCTCTAGGATACCCTTATTCTTAGTAGTTCTGTCTGCATGTTAAGCTGACTGGGCCGGTTTGTTAGAATATTGAAATTCCGAATATGCCGACCTCCGCAAAAAAAAAAAAACTTTCGAACAAGCCGTCTTTTATCTTGATAGTCCATAAACTGAGGAAGCTTCAGAAATTTTAGTGAACAAGTTTCAATCATTAGCCACAGGACAACTTCCGCGCAAAGATAACTACGATGTGCACAGCGCTCATAATGAACTGGTAATTTTGGTACAATTCCCTCTGAGCAATAGTGTTGGTGGATTCCCCTGCATTATCGGAGAACCATACTGGACGCCCACCGGCTTGTATTTTTTAGAACGAACAATTTGTATTGAAATCAGATGATCACGTCCTTTCCCCAGCAAACGTGACGTTGGCCAATCCTTCTGTAGCGATTGTAACCACTAAAGATCCGAAACACAAAGTACGAGAATCTGCCAACATTCCGCCTCAATATCACGTCCATGGTGCACTTTGTGAAAAAATAATGTCAGATAGGCAATACAATTCTGTAAATAAATGGCAATTAACAAACATAAAAGTTCTAATGAAAGCTATAATGAGTAATCGCATTAGGAACAGACAAATGCATATCCAGGTTTTTAAATAGGGAGCTTGGCAACCAATTCCGCGTTGGCAGGTAGTATTCATCGCAGTTCAAGCTGGACCAAAGATGTCAAAGTTTTTATTATAAATTAGCTGTGTGCCCGAGTTTGAAATATGGCCTAAAAGAGAACTCCAATCTTGCCATTTTCAACAACATCAATACAAGTCGATTTTCCAAAATTAATTTTAGATAATTAAACTGTTTTTCAATTTGAGTTTATGCGAAAAGACGGAAAGACTTGATGTCTCCATAGACTTTGTGTCTATTTCAGAGTTAAGTGAATTGTTCTGATTTAGATTTCCAACTTTACAGGCTATGGAATATAGACTTCGGCTACTGAATTCGGGGAGTTTTAACTGCGATGCACAAATAATTCGAAAATATAGTTCCGCCTGCAGTACCTACAACTCTATCTAACCGATAGTTATACTAACAGACTGACTAGTATTCTGACAGATATGACAGTATGGCCGTGATATACTGTGGTTCACAACCCTTTTTCCTGTGCGGCCCACTTTCGTTGCACAAAAATTCTGTGGCCCATTAACTTTCTCATGCAAGAGAGAAAATGTAAGATAAACAAGAAATTATTTCCGCAAAAATAGACACTTCGACTTACTCAATATGAAAAAGAAAAAAAACTACATCATCATTCTTTTTTACTGCAATCAAATTATACCTAATTATCAAAAACTCCAGCCATTTTTAATATGTGTCTGTAGCCAAGTAGCGGACCATGGTTAACTGGTTGCGAACCGGTGTATTAGGGTGACAAGTTGTCAGTTTGAGACTGTAAAGGGAAACAAAATTTAATTTCGCACTGTGATTCTTTATTAGCATTTTTACAGACACACCGAAAGTGATTAGCGAAAGTAAAAGTGTTTGAATATTCGGTACTCTCGTTGTGTTTGTACCAGGTTGGGGTTAAGCCATAATTATAGTTTTTTTAATGAGGTCAAGGACTGTCTGTGTTAACCAATGAGTATATCTCCTGCCCACAGGCTTCCGTCCCTTTACAAAACTTGATGTAAAGTAGGCGAACAAAATATGGTCACCTCCACATTGGTACGCTCTTGTGAAGCGTCGAATTTTTATTTGCGGCATTAGTGCTACAACGTTTGAAACGTTAAAAATTCGAACCTTTATGAAACGTTTTCATAATATTCATCGTATTGTGTTTTTAACAACCTTCGTATAGGTGAATTTTTGTAAATTTTCCACATTCTTCCTGGCATTTGTCATATTATCGGAAAGTTCAGCACATAATTTTTGGCAATATTCAAATGAATATGGCATAGTTTCGAGATATTGAGAAGTAAAAAATGCCATTATACCAATCGTCCAACCTTACACAATGCGCGCCATCCCACCGCACAAATATTAAACAACCACTGTCTTAAATTCATCAAACTGTTGATAAAGCATAAATGTTCCCCAAAAATTACAATGACAAAATGCTACATTTATAAACTTACATGACTATAAGTTTTGAACAATTTATTTTTTGTTTTAAAAATGTTTATAATTCTGTGTTACAAATTCTGTATCGACCTATATCCTTGCTTCTTAATTTTAACGCGTATTTTTTTTAAATACATTTTTAAATTCGCGAAAGTTTCAATTAGGAATATTTTTTTTATCTCATTACTTTTTTTTCAATCTATAAGGACGTCTTTCGATTTCTAAATTTGACACAAAATGTTTCAGGGTATGATTTAGAACTTATGGCAAATCAAGGCCTCCGCCGGAGATAGCATTAATACAGATTCTATTCACGTATAACGTTGTTAGTAGGTGTATGTATAACCAATGACGATAAAGCGCAACCTTTGCTTGATAAATATGTAACATGTCAATCATAAAAGTGGGCGAGGGTTCGCACTCAGTCTATGCTTATTTTGAATGATATTTTAACCTTTCGTTGCCGCAGTAGATCTAATGCATTTAGGTAAGCATAAATAACCCTAGCTACGCAATATTAATTTGGATAATTCATATGTGTTCGCTGTCACTGCATACCAACAAGCTATTGACATGATTTCAGATACTAAGAGTAGAGCCGTAATGATTTGTGTTTGGTGCGATTTATTCCCGGCGAGCAATTGATTGCTATTTGAGATATAATCTACCTATATTCATAAGTAAAATACAAAATTTGAGAATATTGAGAATATTTATATACATTTATAATGATTAGGCGTTCTCGTTGTCCGTATTTTATATGTTATAATAATTTTTTATTTACTTTCTATGACAATTATCTACAGATAGGCATTTGAAAGATTGAAATGAGGTTTATACGTACTTTGCACTTGACGGGGATAATTTTAAATGCCCATGCTTGGCATATAAGGGACCTAAAAAGTAATGCATAACATAACCAGCAAATAATCCAGTACCCAGTTCTGGTCAGCATTATTTAGTTATGTTTTTAAATAGCGCAATGACAAATGTGCTATACCAAGTTTATGCCATTCCTTTTACTATTCTATTAATTGTAATAACGTACCGAAAAATAATTCACCATGTGTATAATTTAATGAGAGCATACGGTAGAAATGGAAAGCGATTTATCATATGAACATTCGAACTCAATTTGAGACGCATTTGTGACTCTCTTCTTGGAAACGATGCGAAATCAGTATTGACAGACTGCTATCTTTAGTAGACATATTTAGTATGTCAAAATGTACAAGGCAACAATAAATAATGTAGGAAGTTAACTTAGAAGGTATTCAGGTTTGGATTTCGTTGTAGATTAATTTTTATGCTAATTAGGTATTTCATGTAAAATAATATTTATTAATTTATACTTTATGCGGAAAGTTTGGTGCACCTCTAATCGTGTGTCATTAGACACTACATACTATAAAGGAAACTGGTATTTTACTTTTACCATGGCCTATTCAAGAAATGGATAAAATAATATTATTTTCATTGATAGGTAAGGTTCCAGTTTGTTATTTGTGGGACAAGGCAACTTTCAGTAACAGATTAGCTAAATATCATGTCGTGCTGAAAATGAATCTGTGCCAAATGTACTGGCATGAATAATGATCGTTCAAACTTTTGATATATCGGATCGATGACATCAAATAAAATGACCTGGCGAACCGATAACAAAATATTGTATTGAATGTAAGAAGAAATAATATAATAACCTGTGTTTGAGTAACATACTCAATATTTTGGTACACATTAAAATAAAAAATAAAAACATTTCAAAGAATAAATGATCGATTAGACGCGAACTTAAACCTTTGGAGCATTCACGTGGCGACGGAAAACAGGGAACCATCAGAAGATTTGAAAATACATGCGACCGTATAAAACCACGGTGAAATCGTTGATTCGGAATAATAACGGAACGCCGATTTATTTGGCGAAACTTCGACAACTGTCCACTGATTGATCAATGATTTATCATCATTCTGATCTTGATTCAATTTTCCGGTATTTCCGGACTTTTTCTTCTTGTATATTGGTTCCCAGAAAGCTTTTTCAGCACTTATGATTCAGACATACACCTGCATAGAATTTTGGAATTATTTAATAATAAAAAGATATCTCTTTCTGTGCAGAACTGTAAATTACATAATATATTAACAAAATGGACGATGGTCCAAAAAAAGGAAATATTCCAGTTGACAAAAAAGCTTTAGAGGAATTGGAACCAAGCGTAGATGAGTCAGTTTTGGATTTCGGTCTGTGGCAGTTATTCTTGACCTGGGGTAAATTTAATTACCCTGTATTTAGCTGCTAGTGTGTCCATTGTTAAACATTTTCAGTTCTATACATTGGCGAATTATACAAATTTTGTACACGAACTACGGGGGATAAATAAGTTTGACATTAGTATAGGAAAGTCAAAGATTTCCGCAAATATAATTTAGAATTTAAACAATTGATACAAGCTGAATTTCCTGTTTTAAATATTTTTCAGATGAACCCGAATCTCAAGAACTCAGTGCAACACCACACAAAAGTCAGCTTAAAGGTGACGCTTCTGAAATACTACAATAACACTTAAGTTTTAAACATCTACCTGGTGCCTATTAAATTTCGAATATGCTAACAATTTTTGGAATGAAAAATTGGATCTCGAGTATTTGTGTAAATATACACTACATGTTGGTACACACCAGTCCCTACAATGGGCAAATTACGCCCGCTGGGAAATTCGATTTGGTCCGCCTGATGCTGCCACAAGCTAACTAAAACTAAATTTTGGTATTTTAGCTAAAAGCATAGTCTAGGGAATTCCGTGGGATTGCAATAAAATTGAGTTTTTGCAAGAGGCTCATTGATTTTCACTTTTGCTTTTGTAATACTGTAAATGAAATTCTGCACCTAAGATGTAACTTTTTACGTCATACGTACATGGTCCGCTTGTCTAGTTGGGCAAAATTGGTCATTGGTACAACCCCTCCCCCCTCTCACTGCTCTATTCTTTATCCTTTTATGCACGCACATGAATGATCTTAATAGTTATCCAGTGATATAAAAATTGTCTATTGAATAATCGTTTATTGTTTTTTGTTGAATAAGATCAAGTTAGAGAAAATACGAAGAAACCTGATGAGGAAAAAAAACCCGCTCTTGAAGAAAACCCGAAGAAGAAGGCTTTTTTAGGTAAAATTGGTAATAATTCAAATGCTTTCACTATTTATAACAAATTTGGCGCTCCCGAAGTATGTGCACCAAGATGGCGGACACCGGAACGGAGTATGTGTACCAGGTGTTAGGGTACGGGCATATTTTTATTCCAATTTTTCTTATTTTAGTTCTATTATGAGTTCGGGGACTAGCCAGATGACTCCCGTAATATTTGTACCTGAAATTATGGCCTAACCTTAACCTGGTACACAGACTACGTTCCGGTGACCACCATCTTAGTTTGCATACTACGGGAGTAGGCCTACCCAAATTTCAAGATAACGAATTAAACGCTGGCACAGGTATTTTTAAATGCAGTAACTAATACAAATCATGCAATAATCTTTCTTCATACCTGGCGATATACCATTTATAAAGCATGGCTTTGTGCTATTAAAGTTGTGCCTCTTAGTAAAATTTATTTTTGGTTGCTGGCTAGTTTTGTTGTTTTTAGCTGACGCTGACACTGTATAGTATCGAATATATGTATCGAATGTCGAGTTGTATACTATAAATAGTCCCTTAATAGTTAGTTGTTCTAGCTGTCCATCTCTCATAATAACGACTGGTCATTTATAAACTTGGTTTGGTATCCCGATGGCATGACGCTGTAATGTTAATGTAACGAACAGATCGCCAGATTGTTGCGCTCTTATTACCTTGACTCGTCCTAATTCTAATGTTCGAGTAAGATTAGAAACGGGAATATCGGTCAGAGACCGAAGACTTATCGACCGAAAGTTAGGGGATCCACCAAAACAGCGCCCAAAACTCGCTAATTATACGACATAATCCACCCAAAATCAATAGGTTTCTGGTCCGAGATAGGATGAATGCACATGCAAAATCTGAAGCAGATTCAATCTCGCTTTCTTGAGATATCGCGTGCTCCTAACAGGCACACAGACAGACAAATACCTATCAACATACTTACCGATTAAAATCGATAAGTAACAATTTCAAGTTAAAACACGTGCAAATGTTACCTATAGGCAGCTAAATCAACACAATATGCGATACATTGTTTTTACATCTTATAAAATAAAAGATACTATGATAAATTGAGAGAATAACAAGTTTTCACTTTTTTTGTGGAAGTTGTATGAATTATCTTCAATTTCAGCTGAAGTTGCTGACAAGGCAGTACCTTTTGGAGGTGAGTCTTTATTTTTTTATCATCGTAGCTTCCCATTTTAATATGACATAATGCTGGAGCAAAAGTGTTGAGCAAAGTACGTACCATTTCTCCACTATTTCTAACATACCAGCGATATGTTTTTGTTTGGGCAATAAAGTTGACTCGGAAAAATGCTTCCATCATATTTATCGGACATGTTAAGTCCAATACGAACACTTCGCATTTTTGAAACTGCATTTACCTCACAGTTGTTGTTAAAATTGATTTATGATTGTACTATGTTTCCATAGTTGTTGTTGAATTTTTACCTAAATTTAGTCGAATTAGATCCAAGGCCATTAGAAGAAGAAATCGAACCAGAACATGGTGAAGATGCTATTCTAGAAGGAAACCAACCACCACACGACCAAAATGCCATTCTAGAAGGTGAATTTCAAACTGAAACTTTGAACTTGAATTTCCCGATACTTACATACGAGTTGCTGTCTTTTGCGCAAACCATACTTTGACTATCTTTCTTAGGATTTTAGCAATTGAAATCTGTTCAGTTATCTATGCGTTTTGATCAGTTATCAGGGCGCTCCAGGAGTATGTGCTCCAAGAAGGCGCACAGCCTGAACCCTAAACTAGTAAACATACTATGTTCAGGTTGTGAGACATCTTGGCTGGAAAGATCAAATCTAACAAATCATTTTATTTAGCTCCTCTCCCCCCCCAAAAAAAAATTGTTTACGCCCCTCCTTTTGCTGTGCGCACTACCGTTTGAGAACCACTGATCTAGATGATAACATTGATAATGTTAGTTTTCAAGTTGGCACCATGCACAGTCTATTTTTCTAATATTTTACAGAAATCGAGATAATCCGTCAAGATATTGGTAATTTACGTCAAGAATTCCGCGACGAAGTTGGGGTACTTCGCAATGGCATGAACCAAATTATGGCTTTGCTAATGGAGCAGAATCAACAAAGACCACAAAGTGCAAGAAATAAGCAAAAATATTTATCAATATCATTCACTAAATTGAAATATTCTTAGTTTAACACACCATACACTTGACATTATATTTCTGGTGTTACGAAAAATGATGAATGACCTTTTTTAAATCTATGTTTCACTGTCTTTTGCCCACATAAATGGATTATTATTAGGCTTGGGCATTGGACATCCCTCAAAATATTTTATAGTTTATATCATTTATTAACACACCTTTTAAGATATACATTTATAATTTTTTAGATCAGCAACCATCAGGCGACATGGGGCAGCAACCATCAAGCGACATGGGACAGAGCAACCGCGGTATAAAGTTTTTACATTCATTACCACAATCAAAGTTACTAAATTGATTGTGTTTGTTTGCATTTATTGACTTATTTCATTTCAGCAACTTTATGTAATCTGAGAATTTGGAATAATTAAAGCATATATAATTTAAAACAACAGCATACTTATTTTAAAGTTCAATTCGAGTAATATAGCTCTCCTTCAATGAGAACGAAAACTCAAAATCGTCCTAGATATTCACCTAAATTTTCCCAAGTTTTAATTTTGGCTTGTATTCTTATATTCATTTTTTTGTTTTCACAGATCGCCAATAAGCGAAAATTGAAGCTTCAAAAATTGAAGATTCCGTGCAAAAAATAATTTTTTTAAAATATATTCATTTAGTACAACTGTAAGTTTTATCTGTAATCTAATAGTGTGTTTTAATTGATTAGTATACATGTTTTTATTACATCGACGAGATAAATTATTTGCGAGCAGAATGCTTATAGGATAGAATTTTCATATTATAAAGAGAGCAACGCACAAATTTATGAACTCGAAAGTCAAACCGTCTCAAGTTGATGCTAATTTTAGAATTATTACCGTTTAGAACCCAGAAAAGCATCGGTCAAAAATTAATAGGAGAATATTATGTAAGATAATTTTTGTCTTAAGAAATTGTTCTCAATTGTAAATATAATAATAACTTTACAACAACGATCGAAAAGACTCCGCGGAACGACTATTTGGTCTCCTTCGTTTATTTATATAATATAAATAATTTTATGTCCTTGAAATCAAACAGCTTCGTGCAAGTTTAGAATTTGTTGTGTTGTTTTTGAACAATTGTACTTTAACATTTTATTAAATGCTGTATTTTAATTGAAATAAATTCATTAATTTTAAAGTTTCTATTTTTGGAATTTGCCATTGGCTTCCAGGATGCAGAATGAGAAATCAAGTTCAACCTTAGAAATCTAGCTCCATCACTAGTAAAGCACTTGCTAATTGGTACAATATAAACTTGATTGCTTGCATCTTTTTGAAAAGTTTATTTTTGTGATTCGATGTTGTCCCAGGTGGTTGTCACACAATAGGTTTCTGGGAGTGAATAACGAGTTAATGTAAAATAAATTTGAAGAAATGAATTATTGCAGTTAATAATATATATTTGAAACAATAATTTGAGAAAATGAAATTTAGAATTTCGAAAGTTCAAAAATCTATGGGCAACTAATCTACTATTTACTAGAACTTATTAAAACGAAAAAATAATACCAACTTGAAAGGCAATGAGACGAAACCGTATCCAATGATTACTTGGTGATCATAAACAATTGTGGTTTCTACTTATTGGCTGGACGCTACTTTGAATTTTTATACATTTTTCTTTAAGGGCTTTGGTGGAAGCACAGTCTATGTTCGATTCACGGATTAGTAAACTTGGGTTGGTGTTGAAATATATACAGAATCACTGTTTCCACTCACCAATCATTTCCCTTTGAGCGATTCAAGTCATCAGTCTCACAAAGATGACAAGTCGCACAATTGACTTTTAATTTCAACTCATTCAAAGCCTTCAGCTTATCCCGTGTGATAGATTCCTTACTGGTTATCGACAGATAGGACGACGTTGTCCCGGTTAATATTGCAAAGAAAAATAGAACTGCAATGCAGGGGGAAACAATGTCTTTATAACAAGCCATCTAGGGCTCTCTGTTGAAACAAAATGTTAGCGTTCAGTCAAACCAGGTTCACAAATATGGAAACTGCAATGCACAAAATCAGTGCAACATGATACTGAGTAATAAAAAATCAGCAACTAATGCTGTGAAACGCAATTTAGCGCCTAATCTATAGGTTTATCCCTGCGGATGACGGGCAAAGATAAGGGTCATTTTAAATTGAATTTAAATGTGACAAAATATGCTACCATGTGTTGGTTAACATCTCAATTGTTTGCTTGAAATGGAACTTTGTGCCGTTTTATAAATGACACTGAATACATAGTACTGTGCATATAACGGGTATGATCATCAAATGCGAAATACTAGATCCACTAAACAAATTCCTGCAAAAATGGAAAAAAAATTATTCGACTTTTATGTAGTAAAGTTTTAATTTTATTTCAATGCTTTAAATTACCGCAAGGTAATAACATTTTTTTAAATTTTTGAAAATTCTTATATTAATGTGGAATTAGTCTTAGCGATCCGAAGTCCACGCACGGCCATTTAAGTTTTTGAGGTATTTTTATTAAATGATGGAATGGTATCGTTCCGCCAAGCCGCGTTTGAACAGCTTTTCTAATAAATATAATTGAAAAAAGGAAACATATATTTAAAGCACTTGGGCTACACGACAACAACTACTCATCCATGCAAGATCTTATATGATTTGAGTATTGGCAGACAGTCAGGTGTCTTTCTGGAAGTCAAATCAAAGTTTCAATAGAAATCCAATGAAGTGTGATGTAAATAAATACGAGTTTTTCATGCCCTTTGAATTTATATGATGTCAACTTTGAAAGGTGTGAGCAAACGGTTAATCTGTAACGTAGTATCCAATTTTGTATTCATTAGTGAATACAACACAGTGGGATAGTATTCATGTGGCAATTGAAACTACGTACCCATACCCACTTCAGATTTCGTGGTAGGTGGAAGAGTCTAGTGTACACTAAACGTTTTTGGATGAGATGATGTTGAGATATATTATGTTTGTTTGATAGATATAAATTTTAAAACACATAAGTTGAAGTTTAAAGAGGACAAACTCAGACAAGAATTGAAAGATATTAGTAGTTGTTTCCCACTGCGAGGTGAATATAGGTTGGAAATAATGGAATCTTCCATGTGAAGCATGCCTGCCCAATTTATTCAAACGTCGGTGAGGAATTCTAACCTTAAGTCAAACGCTTCAAGCCCTAGACCAGTGGGTTTTGAACTTGTTAGAGATGTCCCCCTCTCCCCACCCAACTTTTTAGAATTTGTCAAGTCTCGTGCCCATCTCAAATATACCTAGCTAACAATAAACTACAAATAACAGATAGTAAGGCGAAAGTACGTTTTATTCAAAAAGCATGTTGGGAATACGAGGATCAAACGTAAATATTCAAAATAAGATAGGCAAGATTAAATCTAACACATATTTTTATTTTTAATTAGCTTCACGCCCCATCAAAAGCATTGTGTACGCCCCCTCGCGGGGTCTGTACCCACTCTCTCGTTTGAGCATATTTAGCGCCACCAAATGTTTCATATTTTGTGGTCAGCCATCTTTGTTTACATTGATGTCGGTTGAAATGTGATGTCTGTAGCAGTCGGATTTCGTCGTCTTTTTTGGGGTATAAAGCTTTACCCCAGAGAGTCGAAAAAAATCACAGTAAGAGGCCGTTATGTGTACTTTCATTTGGTGAAAAGAGTTTTGCCTAACAATTAGTTGTTTACTGCTGACGCCAGTTTTCCCAACTGTCACTAAATCGTCCCATCCGTCCATGTTTTGCAGTTTAAGTTGTCTTTCATAAACCAAGACACTTGAAATTGAAGAGCAGAAATAGGAACATAATCTAATATGTTTTAAGTATGTGTAACTCTGTTATCGAAATTTATATATAGTGAAGTTTAATTAGTTAAAATAATGTCTTTCCCTCTAAACCTGATAATATTTTGATCAAGTTTTGCTTCTGATGTTGACTGGCTAAAGCCTAAAGTAATGATAATATTTTGATCAAGATTTGCTTCTGATATTGACTGGCTAAAGTAATATGCAGGAATTTCTTCAAATTGTTTAGTGGTAGAAGTAATTTATTCAAATAATGAAAAATGGATGAGAAGGAGAATTGGAGAATTCGTATTCCACCTAGTGGGGATGTTAGCGAAGACAGTGACTGCAGCAGTAGCGAAGATGAATATGTACCACCGAAAAAGATTAGAGACTATGCCTATAGTCAGAAAGTTCAGATGACGAAGCTGCTAGTCAGGATATATCTATTGACCAGGGAGGAGAAAGTGATCAGGAAGCAAGAGGGTCAGGCGAGATGTCAGTTTCTTCCGTGGTTGAAGTCGAGGTGTGTATTGGAATCAATATCCCACGTAGGAAGCCCGTATGGAGGATTGTACAGGAAAGTGACCCAGAATCAGCACGAGAGCTGCCTGCATGGAAAGGCCGTGAGTATGAATCGGAAACAGTGCGAGCACCAATTGAATATTTCAAATATTTTTTTGACTCGGATGTAATGCACCAAATAGTTGCGGAAACCAATATCTATGCGAGCCAAAGCGATCCCTCCAAACAACTAAACCTTACAATTCCAGAAATGGAGAAGTTTCTTGGTTGTGTCGTTTACATGTCTATTTTTCGTCTACCGAGAACACGTATGTTTTGGGCTGTGGAAACAAAGGTTAACTGCGTTGCCGATGTAATGACCCGTGATCGATGGGAAAGAATAAAAAAGATGCTCCATTTCAATAACAACGATTTACTTCATGGCGATTCTGATGTTCAACAAGATCGATTGTTTAAAATCAGACCCCCGTTAGAAATGCTTAAAGCAAAATTCAAACCACTGCATCAAGAGCAAGTTTTATGTATCGACGAGCAGATGGTTCCGTTTCCTGGGAGGTCAGGGCTGAAACAATATCTTCCCAAAAAGCCCCACAAATGGGGGTATAAAATTTTTATGTTGTGTGGAACAGATGGTTTGGTACACAACTTTGAAATATATACAGGAAAGATACATCCTGTTTCTGGTTACCCTGATCTCGGAGCTAGTGCTAACATAGTCATCAAACTGACCGATAATGTGGAGAATGATGTAAATCACGTACTCTGTTTTGACAATTGGTTTACGTCCATACCTTTGATGTCCGTTCTCGCCAAAAGGAAGATCTATTGTATAGGGACGGCGAGACAAAATCGGTTATTGGGATGCGAGCTGGAATCTGACAAAGATTTGAAAAATAGAGGCCGGGATGTTATCAGGAAAAGACGTCATGTGTTGACTCTGTTGAGGACACTGAAATAAGAGTTGTGAAGTGGTATGATAAACGAAGTGTAACTATTGCCAGTTCTTTTGCCAGCGCCATGCCCACATCAGAAGTCCGAAGATGGGACAACGTCACGAAACAGCACATAATGGTGACTCGTCCTTTTATGGTAGATTTTTATAACCGTAGCATGGGAGGCGTAGACTTGTTAGATGCGCTTATAGCCTACTATAGAATACGCATTCGGTCAAAAAAGTACTACCTGAGGATCTTCTTCCACCTGGTTGATTTGGCTATTGTAAACAGCTGGATCCTATACAGAAGAGATTGTGAGTCCCTGGGAGTTGCGAGTAACAAGCAGCGAGATCTTTTATCGTTTCGAAGTTCGGTGGCAGAATCTCTTTGCAAGCTTGGGAAAATATCGACTCCGCTTAAGCGAGGCAGGCCATTGTCTACTACCCCACCACGAATCAGAAGAATAGCTACTCCACATCCCAACAATGAGGTTAGAACCGACGCCACTGGCCATTGGCCTGTGGTAGAAGCTAAGAGACAGCGATGTCGTTTCCCTGGGTGTGATAGCAAGCCGGTAATCAGATGTACCAAATGCGGAGTATATTTATGCTTAAACAAAGCCAAAAATTGCTTTGCGTGGTACCATGGCGTATATTAATGACCAACAGTACGGTCCACTGAACATTTTCTGTTGTCCGATTTCGTTTATTTTGAATTGAATTTGTTATATTCCCATTCGTATCAGTCGCAATACGTGTGAGTATTGACACAATAAATTCATCACGTGGACGAGTGTATCGATTTCGTGACAAAAATTTTTCTCCCAAATGGGGGGTAAAATAAAAAAAATAAGTTTGAATTCGTATTCTACGGCCTTGAATTAGCAAATAACCGAAGCGGCGATTTTTTTCTCTCAGCGGATCATAATTCCGGCATTAAGTGGTTAATTATAAAATCAAACGACAAAATTTTTGGTGAAATATTTAGTCCCACAGTATATGAAAGTGAATTTGAAAAAAATAAAAAAATTTTTAGCAACTTCTATGCTTAATGTGTCCTTATTTTCGTCGCTTTCCACTAAAACGCGCCCAAATTACGTAGGGCAAATGTGTACGGCCGCACGCCGGTAAGAAGAGAAAAATTTCGAGAAAAAGTTTCTCACTTTAAGCGCTGTGGTCGACACGTGATTGATATGCGAGAGAAAGAGTTCTCTTTCAGACGAGCTTTACGGGACGGACTTAAAGTAGGCACTTGCACATTAGGCACTTATTTAGGCACTTTGGAAAAAAAGTAAAAAGGGCGTAATATCTTTTAAAAACATAATTAATTAGTTAAAAATGGTCAAATTAAATGTTGAAAACGCAAATTGCAACGGGCAAACTCAATAACAATATTTAAAACGTAGTATTAAAGGATGTCGCACGCGCTTGGTCACCACATATGCTAGGCACATATTTAGACACTTCGAAAAATAAAGAAAATGGCAATTATCACTGATAAAAGACAGAGACATAAACATATTACCCACCTGGGTAAATATCCAATAGATGCACTTGAGTCTAGTACTGGAATTTAGAAATAATAAATTGTTACCGGTAGGCACTTATTTAGGCACTTCGGAAAAAAGGTGAAATGGACGTAGTAACTCCTAAAAAGGTAATGAATTAGTTCAAAATATTTAAATTAAATGTTGAAAGCGAAAATTGCAACAGTTAAATCCAATAACGATTTTTAAAAAGTAGTATTAAAGGGAGACGCACGCGCTCTGTCACCACATATGTTAGGCACATATTTAGACACTTCGAAAAATAAAGAAAATGGCAAATATCACTAATAAAAGACAGAGAAATAAAAATATTACCCACACTGATTAGCCTGGGTAAATATCAAATAGATGCACTTGAGTCTAGTACTGGAATTTAGAAATAATAAATTGTTACCGGTAGGCACTTATTTAGGCACTTCGAAAAAAATGAATTATCACCAATAAAAGGGCGAGAAATAAAAATATTATTCACACTAATTAGCCTATGTGAATATGCGCTTCAGTTTATTAGTGCCATTTAAAAATTTTAAATTGTTACCGGTAGGTACCGTCAATTAGGCACTTAGGAAAAAGGTAACATGGGATTAATAACTCTCACAAAGATGATGAATTAGTTAAAAATAGTCAAAATTAAATGTTGAACATGCAAAGTGCAACAGGTAAACCCAATAACAATCTTTTAAACGAAGTATTAAAGGGAGTTGCACGATATTGGTCATACTAGTTAATCTTGCTAGCTCAGAGACGCCAGGGTTCAATGAGTTCATTAATTAAAGCAGTGGTGATACGCAATTGTCTGGAAACAATATATGTCTCAAATCAATTGCAATGGACCTTTCCCCGACCTTTGACCCCCGAAAGAATCTTCCTTTACTTTACCATTGCAAAATTTTCGGGGATATTTTATTAGTGGTTTCGCGAGTTGGCCCCTGTAAAATGGGGTATTTGTTTCAAACCAACATTATGATTCATCGCGGACAATAATCTGTGTTTTAGAAGTAACGGTGAGGAATTTTAGCCTAGTCTATCACAGCTATTTCTACACCAATTTCTTATTACTGTGATTAAATTAAAACTTCTAAAAAGACATAGTGAGCATTGAATTATCTGATTTATATTTACATTTCCGAAAGACAACTAAAAATTGGCGAAAAGATTTCAAAAACGCGAAAATGAGGTAATGTTTAAAACCACGCCTGAAAATCTGTCTGAGTGAGAAAAGTGTCTGAGTGGATGCAAAAAGGGGGCATTGTTACGTCACTTTTTGCATCTTGCTGATTAGCCAATATCACGAAGTACATAAAGAAGTCGACGCTCGGGGGAGGGTCCATAGTCAATTCGTTCAATGCCTGTGCCGATAGAATCTTTATCCGCGTCACGTCGCATTTATTATGTCAAGAAACGTTGTATATCTACAGTCGGTTACTTCTATATTGAAAGCAAAAAATATAATCGATCTTCTTCTATCATGTGAAACGGTAAGGTGCCCAGAGAAAAAATTGCCACCGATTCACCAGTCAAACCACATGCAGGAGAGGTATACATTTTCAAGTGTAACGAAAAAAATGCGAAAGATTATTTGTCCGATCAGTATAGGTGGATTGGAGCTGGAAAAAGGGAAGTTGCGAATGGTAAGCTCATTCGCCGAAAATGGTTCCTCAAAGATCCAAAGGGAGCAAACAGAGACCACCTTAACTTCAAGAAAATTGTTAGCGAATTCCAACGCAAAGATGGTTTGTGTTGGTACGTATTGGTCCATTATCTAGGAGAAACTCCTGCAAGGTATTTTGACACGGCTCACGGTGGCTGTAAAAATGAAAACAAGTTATTTTATCCCACGAAAAAATCTGTATTCACTGAAATCAAAAACCAACTTGATCACGATCTTTCTCCACACGATGTGTATTGTCGACTAAATCGAAACCTCAAGATCCAACTCCAACAATACCGGTTGATCGCCCACGTGACATAAAACAAGTAAAAAACGTTGCTTATTCGACATCCATACAATCACAAAAATGTCGGGATGAAATATATTCGATTTGCGAGCTCCAAACTGAACTACCAAATTTTGTCCGTGCGATGCTTCTCATTCCTGGCTTGGCTATTGTTATGGCCACAGATTTCATCATCGATGTCGCTGCAATAGAAATTTGTAAGTTTTCAAAATTTAAAAATTCGTGTAAGCAATCGTTATCGTACGACACGACGTTTGAACTTGGCGATTTCTTCATCTCCCCACTTGTCATGAGGAAAACAAATTTAGTTGGCAATCCAATTTTCCCTGTTTGTTTCCTTCTTCACGAAAGGAAATCGCAGGAAAATCACGAGCTTCTTTTCTCATTCGTGAAAACGGCACTTAAAGTGGAAAACGACAGTGATATTCCAATTTCAACGGACAGGGAACTCTCGATAACAAATGTAATAAAAAGCAGCAATGGCTTAAAAACGTATATTGCACTAATCACATTTTACGAGACGTGGAATATTGGATTAGGAAAAATAAAGGAACTGCGCATGATATTAAAGTGTACAAAGACCTCGTGGAACAATTGATAGACTGCGCTGATCTTAAATCTTATCAATCGCTATACATGGAATTTTCTGTTAAATGGTCGAGGCCATTTAAAAGTTATTTCGACAGTCGACTTAATACGGACATCATCAAAGGTGCCTCCAAAATTGTAACGAATAGATTCCGAGCTTTTGACAACATCACCACCACCAATAATGCAAGTGAATCCTTCAATAAAGTACTGAAAGATGCATGTGGATCCCGAGAGCGTCGTGCCGACGATATGACTTTAATATTGTTCAAAATCATGAAAACCTACGAATATGATTTTAAAATGGCGGAAATGGGTCTTGGTCGATTTCAATTCCTTCCAGGAGTAAAAAGAAAGGTAACGAATTATGAAAATATTCCAAAACTTCTTTCGATGAGCGACATATACAGACAAATAAAAGGCAACCATATTCCCGAAAATCTCTCTCCACCTGACAGAAAGCCACAAAAAAGAATTGCTGAGGACTGTGTGTCAATACATGGTGTCACATTAGAAAACCAATCCGGAACATTCGTGGTCCGTAATCCCTATACAAATGCGCGGAACGCCGTAACCATCGACCCGAGAATATGTAGCTGTCTTGGTGAAAAAGAATGCTGGCACTTAAAGGCAGTGGATATTTGTCTGCAGACTCAAAAAAAAACAAAGTTTTCATTATCAGCCTTACGAAAGAAACAGAGACATATCAAAGGAAAATCCGGACAAAAAGTCAGGCAAAAAGAGTATCACTATAATGTAATATCAGCTCCGGATTCACTTGCAAATAATTTATTTGACGCGTCCCGCAATAACTCGCAATTAATTGAGAGTGATGCTGAATTGCCTAAAACATCAACGCCGAAACATCCTGCGAATAATTGGGGAAATGGGGAGTGGGAAAAAAATTATCTACAATGAAATCCCAATTCTC